AGTACTGTCTGTTGTATGTATCTATATAAATATAACAGTACTGTCTGTTGTATGTTATCTATATAAATATAATAGTACTGTCTGTTGTATATATCTATATAATTATAATAGTAATGTCTGTTGTATGTTATCTATATAAATATAATAGTACTGTCTGTTGTTTGTATGTATATAAATATTATAGTACTGTCTGTTGTATGTATCTATATAAATATAACAGTACTGTCTGTTGTATGTTATCTATATAAATATAATAGTACTGTCTGTTGTATGTCTATGTAACTACTTCGCCCCCTGTTGATGAATCTTCACCAAATTTGGCATGCAGGTTTTTTGGATCCATACGAAGATACAAGCAAATATTCAGTTTCACATTTTGTGTTTTGTAGTTTTTATAGACATTTTTTCGTTTTTTACAATTACATATAAGGAAGCAACTTTTCATGTCCTAAGATAATCATGAATTTACATAACTTCCGTCCAGTGGACGGGTCCTCCAGCTAACTTATAATAACCTTGTTGAATGGAAGACAAACCGCGAACAATGTTTTAACAAAACTAAGCATATTGAACACGTGAGCGTTTCAACTTTTATAAAAGTAAACATTTTAAAGATACTGACTATCAAATTTGACCGTTTAATCGTTATCCAGTGAGGAACATGTGTTTAGCATAAGAATATTTAATAAATGTGAACAACTGCCTTGTAGTAGTATCGTTGTTGAAACAGACATGTGCTATCGTTTACTTTCTAGTCGAACTGTATGGAGAAAGGAGCCTAACGTTTCCTTTGGTGACCCGGGAACACATGGGGGTTTACCTATGTATAGCCACGAATAACGTTCCTCCTTCTATTCGACGAAGGATCCCCCTCGAAGTTAACTGTGAGTTCAGCATCATCTTTTATTCTAACAAATGTTATTAAGTTGTGTGTTGTGTCTAACGAGCTTTAAGTTTTTTATCTTTTTTGCGGTAAATTATGAAGTAAAGGTTTTATTAAATACTGTTAAGCCTAATTGTCAAGTACGCTTATTGTGTAAAAACTGTTAAGCCTAATTGTCAAGTACGCTTATTGTGTAAAAACTGTTAAGCCTAATTGTCAAATACGCTTATTGTGTGAAAACTGTTAAGCCTAATTGTCAAGTATGCTTATTGTGTGAAAACTGTTAAGCCTAATTGTCAAGTACGCTTATTGTGTAAAAACTGTTAAGCCTAATTGTCAAGTACGCTTATTGTGTTTGAAATCATCTCCAAATGACGTTTTAACTCATTGATATTTTGTGATTTGCCGAAAGTGTTAACAATTTTGTCTTGAGACCATTTACATTGTTTAAACAAATAAGCATACACCCATACTGAATAGGTACAGAACAATAGGTTACAACAATATTTAATTGTTAAGAGTAAATTGGTTTAAGTTTCTCACAAAGTGTGTGTTTTTCGGTTATTTTGTAAAGGAGAAATATAGTTAAACAAGTAATGTTTAATGCTCTGGTGTTTCTTAACTTTGTTTTTACTTGAATTTAGTTCCTCCAACGATCTGGATACCTAATCAAGTCGTAGGGGCGGCGTTGTATTCTAACATAACTTTGGAGTGCCATTTGGAGTCTTATCCTAAAGCCATCAGCTTCTGGCTTCGAGGGACAGTTTTGATCGATGAAAGAGAAAATAAGTACATAAAATACGTGTCACACGACTCCTATAAATCACATATGAAGCTGACCATCATAAATATACAAAAGGAAGATTACGGTCCCCACAAATGTGCTGCAAAGAATGATAAAGGAGAATCTGAGGGTGTTTTGACTTTATATAGTAAGTTAACCTATATTTTGTCGAATATCTTATGGATAATTCTACGGGATACATACCATAAAGTCAGGTAACTATGGTGACATTGAATAAAAGTTAACAACGGAAGTTCACTGACTATAACTAGGACAATCGTGTGCTACTATTTTTGTTAAGGCTACTCCTATTTATGTAGATATAAAAATAGACAAACATAGTAAATTACTATATATATATACATTATGTAATATTTTCATTATTTAGAAATACTACCCTAAATTTCCCTATAAATATATTAGCTTATTAAATATTCAAATCTTATTTCGTAAGAAACTTGCTGCTATCAGCGTTGTATTTTTATTCCTTATTGTTAAATGCTCCTTTTATTACTTATATAAGTTTCTCGGTTTAAAGTATCAGCTGTTATATCACAAACCAAAAACCTTGGAAGATATGAGTCTGATCCATATATCACAAAACAAATACCTTGGAAGATATGAGTCTGATCCGTATAACACAAACCAAAAACCTTAGAAGATATGAGTCTGATCTACATGTCACAAGCCAAACACCTTAGAAGATATGAGTGTGATCCGTATAACACAAACCAAACACCTTGGAAGAAATGAGTCTGATCCGTATAACACAAACCAAACATTGTAGAAGATATGAGTCTGATCCATACATCACAAACCAAAAACCTTGGAAGAAATGAGTCTGATCCGTATAACACAAACCAAACATTTTAGAAGATATGAGTCTGATCCATACATCACAAACCAAACACCTTGGAAGAAATGAGTCTGATCCGTATAACACAAACCAAACATTTTAGAAGATATGAGTTTGATCCATACATCACAAACCAAACACCTTGGAAGATATGAGTCTGATCCATATATCACAAACCAAACACCTTGGAAGATATGAGTCTGATCCATATATCACAAACCAAACACCTTGGAAGATATAAATCAATTCGGTATCAAACAAACGTATTATGTTGAGAAAATATACATACATGTCTTTCTAAAATAAAATATTACATACAACGAACTTTTCAATAATGAAGATATAACATATAGTTGAAAGATGTTTATATTATGATGAATTTAGAAAAAAAAGAAAAACCTCCCCTGAGTTTACTGTAATGCATATTTGGATGTTTTCATTAATTACCCGAAGAAACTGACAGACAAGTCAAACAGATGATACTCAAAACTACTCCTTTGCCTCAGAGACTAGAAGCAACGGATACGAAGAAATATGTGGTACAAGTTTATCCTCAGACACCGGCGAAAGGTTAGTATCTCCTTTTTACTTTATCTAGTGCTACACACTTTATCCAATGATAGACGGGTTATCTAGTGCTACACACTTTATCCAATGATAGACGGTTTATCTAGTGCTACACACTTTATATGTTGACAGACGGTTTATTTAGTGCTACACACTTTATCCGATGATAGACGGTTTATCTGATGACAGACGGTTTATCTAGTGCTACACACTTTATATGTTGACAGACGGTTTATCTAGTGCTACACACTTTATCCGATGATAGACGGTTTATTTAGTGCTACACACTTTATCCGATGATAGACGGTTTATTCAGTGCTACACACTTTATCCGATGATGGACGATTTATTCAGTGCTACACACTTTTTATGATGATAGACGGTTTATCTAGTGGTATCCGACAATACACACTTTACCGTATGATAGATAGTTTATCCGATAATACACACTTTATCCTATGCTACACACCTCACCTGTTGATAAATAGTTTATCCAATGCTACACAATTTATCCAATAATAGACAGTTTATCTGATGCTACACTTTATACAATGATAGACAGTTAACCGGTGCTGCACACTTTATCCAATAATAAGCAATTTTCCGACGCCACACACTTTATCCTATGATAAATAGTTTATCTGTTGCTACACGCTTTATCCAATGATAAACAGTTTATCTGATAATACACATTTTATCGTATGATACACACTTTATCCGACGATAGACACTTTATCCGATGATAGACAGTTTATCCGCTGATACACACTTTATCCGAAGATAGACAGTTTATCCGATGACAGACAGTTTATCCGATGATAGACAGTTTATCCGAAGATAGACAGTTTATCCGATTATAGAGTTTATCCGATGATACACACTTTATCCGATGATAAACAGTTTATCCGATGATACACACTTTATCCGAAGATAGACAGTTTATCCGATGATAGACAGTTTATCCGATGATACACACTTTATCCGAAGATAGAGAGTTTATCCGATGACAGACAGTTTATCCGAAGATAGACAGTTTATCCGATGATACATACTTTATCCGATGACAGACAGTTTATCCGAAGATAGACAGTTTATCCGATGATACATACTTTATCCGATGATAGACAGTTCAAGAACAGAAACACGTTCTCCCTTCTTCATTTCCGTAATCCGAAGAACTTAATGAATTCTATCGAACATTCTGAAAAAAAGCGAAACACGTCTCACTCTCAGTACTAACACCTCCATATGGTAATTGTTTATTAAAACAAGACAGTACTAACACCTCCATATGGTAATTGTTTATTAAAACAAGACAGTACTAACACCTCCATATGGTAATTGTTTATTAAAACAAGACAGTACTAACACCTCCATATGGTAATTGTTTATTAAAACAAGACAGTACTAACACCTCCATATGGTAATTGTTTATTA